CCAATCAACTTGTGTGTTATATTGGCAGACTGTGGAAACATATTTTTGCTGTTAATATTGAATTTTGATGTAAGGTGCGGAGACATATAGAACACACCAATCGATGGGAACATAACAGGGTGTGATACTGGTGCTTTAAATTTTAAAACTGGAGCCAGCGCTGTGAGCAGTTGTCGCGTTTCACAGGAAGGCTGCCAAGGTCCCCAACAAGCCCGGGTCCTCAACAGCCTTCCTGTGAACTGCAGTGCCAATTTACAGCGCTATCCGCACATCTCCTTCTCCTTTCTGAAACCGTGCCACCCGCACCAGCCCACAAGACCCTGCACAGCCATCCCGAGACCCTGCACAGCCCACCTGAGACCACACACAGACCACTTAAGATACACAGACCACTTAAGACCCTGCACAGCTGTCCTGACACCCTGCACAGCTGTCCTGACACCCTGCACAGCTGTCCTGACACCCTGCACAGCTGTCCTGACACCCTGCACAGCTGTCCTGAGACAACGCACAATCTCCTGAAACCATGCACAGCCTCCTGAGATCCTGCACAGCTTCTTGAGACTCCGCACAGCCTCCTGAGACCCTGTACAGCCACCTGAGAGACCCCGCACAGCCTCCTAAGGCCCTGCACAACCTCCTGAGACCCCACACAGCTACCTGAAACCCCGCAGTGCCATCCATTTTCCATTATGGGCGTCATGTTTAAGTTTCACCTAAGGCCTTGCCAAGTCTAGAGCCACCTCTGCCTGGAAGACAAACTACTGTATACTGTAAGAAAACCTGTCTTGTCTCCAAAATTAGAGACACATGAAGATGCTCAAGCTAAGTCTTTTTGCTACCATGGTTTATCTACAGAAAGATATTAGTGAAGTATAATAGTGTGTTTTTACAGCTTACAATAGTAGTTTCAATCCTATCTTCTAAGGGCCACCAAGTTTTACTTCCACTGACTTGCAAAGCCTATTAGTAAATCATGTGCAAGCAAAAATAAGATTTATTTTTTTCTTGTGATTGGGTCTCCTTTACAAAGTGAATTATTACCACATTCACTAAGCTAAGGGAAAACTCCCTTGCAGCCCAGCAAACAAAATACTTACATGCACAACAAAATTACAAAAGTAAAACACTATTTTTTTGTTCTTCATTGTTGGATTTTCTGTTGGTCTTAGAAATCACTGCTGTTTTGCAAGAAATAGTAAGTTAACCCATTTACAAGCACTCCCAGGAACATTGAGGAACATTGATAATGGTGCAAATCATGGATATTTTGGACAGTTGGAATATGGATTTGATGGATCTTTCCACCAAGAAATGTATTTGCAGGCTGGATTGGGCTAATCATTGTGTTTGCTTATCTCCAGTCTGTACCATTCAAACCTATTACATACAGGGCTCAAAATTTCAAGTCCTGAGCTTCTAGCCAAGCCTTAAAAGTTACTCGCCACCAGTTGCCCCACCTAACCCCTATCCTGCCCTGGCATTACCTCCGCCAGGTCAGCGGTGTGACACAGAGTACAGAGATCAGTAAAAACGCACAGTACAGACGTCAGTGGTGTAATGCCGAATACAGAGGACAGCTGTGTGACGCAGAGTACAGAGATCAATAACAACGCAGAGTGCAGAGGCCAGTGGTGTGACATACAGTACAGGAGTCAGCAATACAGATGTCAGCAGTATGACACACAGTACAGATGTCAGCAGAATGACATACAGTACAGAGGTCAGCAGTATGACGCACAGTATGATGCACATTACAGAGGTCAGCAGTATGACGCACTGTGCAGAGGTCAGTAATGTAATGCACAGTGCAGAGGTCAGTAATGTAACGCACAGTTAAGAGGTCAGTAATGTAACGCACAGTAAAGAAGTCAGCAGTACTGAGGTCAGTAATGTAACGCACAGTACAGAGGTCAGCAGTACAGAGGTCAGTAATGTAACGCGCAGTACAGATGTCAGCAGTACAGAGGTCAGTAATGTAATGCATAGTAAGGAGGTCAGCAGTACAGAGGTCAGTAATGTAACGCACAGTACAGATGGTGGTTGGGGTGGTACAGAGATCCTCCATGTACTGAGATTAAACTTTCTTTTGAGGTCCCGTGCTGCATAACGTTCTGGCTGGCGCCAATAGTGTCTCTGCAGTCTTCCTCCCAGCCTATGGCAGCTGAGGTGGGTGGAGGAAGCTGCAGGTGGCCGAAGACGGCCGAAGACAGCCGAAGGGAAGACACCAAAACTGATTCTTCTCCTCTTCGGCCGCTGCAGCTACAGAGGGGCCTGAGGAGGAGAAAAGAGAACAGAAGTGAGCGATTTCCACCCCGGAAGCGGCGGTAGTGTCCCATCCCTGGTCCTGCTGGCGGCGCACCCCCTCGATGCCCCCACACAATTTTCACTCGCCAATTGCGAGGGGGCGAGTGGAAATTTTGAGGCCTGCATTATGTTACCTAGGCTGAAGGCTGTGCGGTTATTTATGTGATTATGATTTTATACCTTGAAGTAACAAGTACTACTATTTTTTTATATCCCAAGCTAGGTCTAGCTAACAATCTGGATGAATTGGGTTCTGAATCAATTATTGATGGAATTGCCAGAATTTGTAGATCACCATTAGGTAAATCTGTAACAGACTGATGAAAGGATGAAAAACTTCATAAGAAGCAGTTAAAATATTGGTAGGTAAAATTGTAAACCTTAACTTAAATGCTTGCTCCTTCCACTCCATCCTTTAATAAGATGGGTAGCCTTACTGCCCAACAGAAAGGCTTAGGAGTTGGTAGAAAATAAGGCCAAGCTAGACTTTTTCAGGACATGTAACTTCTCTTGCTTATGACTGAATCTGCTGATTTTGGCGTGCAACTTTCGTTCATGGTAACATGGTGACGTACGCCCGGCCCAAACCCACTGTACGTCAATCACACGTGACCATACCTACGCAGAGATTTCCCAGCTCGCAGGACACCATCTCAGGCCAGCAGACTGAGAGAGATCATCACCAGCCCCTTGGTCCAGTGCCGGAATGTGGTACGTAAGCGACTTACCACATCCAGAAAAGAGCCAGTAGGCCCCTTTTTGCAGGGATCTGAACCGTCTGTGATACACCTCTGGTGTCAGCTGGTACTTCCTTACGATTGCGTCCTCTTATAGTGCACCTCTTATAGTGCGGTCCTAACTCTAAACTATGAGACTCTCATAGTTTAGAGTTAGGACCGCACTATAAGAGGTGCCTTGGCGCGGCAGTGCGGCTTACACATCCTTTGCAGAAGACGTGTATCCAAACCTCTGTCATTGTCCTTAGTGGTGAGACAAGTTGTTTTACATGCTGGTTTGTGAGTGTGCCATGATGCCTTTCTACCATGTTCCTTGCTTGACACACAATAGTCACATCATCTTTGTTCATTTTCTTGTACTCTGCTGGACCAGGCATGTTTTCAAAATAAAAGATAGGACAGAAAACAAAAGATGGGGGAGGGAACTGTTGCTATATGTCTCTTAAAATACAAAACTAGGCACCGGCTTATCTCTAAAGACTGTTGCAAAAAGGTTACAATCCTTTAGTGTAGGGTTAAACTCTAACGCTACACTAAATGCTCTAAACACAACTATCCCAACGCGATGCCACCAATATGTGACGTACGCCCGCCCCAAAACCCGCTGTACGTCAATCCCACGTGACCATACATAAGTATGAACCAAGCGTGAGCGTCAAAAGGACGTGGCGATACCACTCTCAGCCTCACCCTGCGCAGAGATTTCCCAGCTCGCAGGACACAATCTCAGGCCAGCAGACTGAGAGCAATCGTCACCAGGGTTGGGTAACTCCGCAGTTAACCCTTTACCCACCAAACTTCCACTGCCACCATGTGTTTTTCGGAACACAAACCGTGCCCAGCAAATGCTGCGACTATTCAAAACACTTAAATTGTTTAAGTGTTTTGAATAGTGCCTTGTGCCTGTGATAGCGCTGTCCTCTCAGACAGGAATATGACAGGAGTCACTATACAGTAGCGCTCTTCAGAGAGCAAGGAGACTTTAAGTTCGTATTTAGAGCGTAGAGATAAGCTTAACGATTTTTAAGATCGTCCTTTTAATAAAAGAAACGGTGCAAAAAATATACAGAAAAAGATTTAATAAAAGCGACAACAAATATATATACAACAGTAAAATTAAAGGGAATAAAATAAGAATACTTAACATTCCTGGAATTGTGAGTTCTGACAGAGTACAGAGTCCAAGAAGCAAAGTGGAAGTCTGCGGGACTCTTCTTCAAGCAGACTTCCAGCAGATAATGTCCAAAGATTAAAGGGGAACTCTTCTGCGATGTTCAGACTTCTAGTTCCTCGATGATGTTTAAAACAAGAGCCACTCTATTTGCCAACACAGAATATTTTATAAGACCCTTTTGGAGGGTGTTCCGGAGCCAGCCCCTAGGCAGGGGTGGGCGGGCAAACGGGTGGAGGATGAACCTTTAGTTTACCTATCAACGCCCAAATTCCAAAGTATAAAAAATGTAGCTTGATTTTCCAACTTAGGGTTTTTGACTTTCGTGGAAATGCGAGGTCATCACCTAGCAGACCTGCTTGTTTATTTTAAAATGTCCACTCCTAATATATGGAGGGCCTAGTGCCATGCCTTTTTACGACAGCCATAAAAGGCTTACAGAGATATGTTGGAATGTGTTGGGGGCCTATCAATTCTAAATGAAGACCTGCGGGTGCTCTAAACTGGGGAAACAAACAAATTCTATTCTGCAATATTCAGACTCAAATCCCCCATCATCGTCACACACCTCATACATTTTATTTCATTAAACATTGAGTTTAAATGGCAAAGATTTACTTACATTTTATATTTTATGAAAACAAAAAAAATGTGTGTCACACAATTATGCAAGAAGGAATTTCAACAAATCATATCTATTGCTCATTCACTATTACTGTTAGTTACTGTGAGTGTTTAAATATATGTACAATATGTAAATCTAAAATATTCTTTTTTTCTTGCAGTGAAAAAGAACTTTCTGATTCTACCAGAACCTCAGGTATACCTTTTGCTGAATGTATTCTTTTAAAAGCATTGCAAAATTTTGAAGGTGGACTTGCTTGTATATATTACAAATCACTAAACTACCCAGCTAGCCTTTGAGTTACAGTCTGTGCCTCTTGATAACTAAAAAGGGGATATAGTGAACAAATCACCAATGGAAGGGGACCGAACTTAGGATCCTAAGGTTTGTTTAAGAAACCTGTATCATGATTTATTCCTGTCATAAAGCCTTTATTGATTTAGAAAGCTTCTTGTAAAAGTGGTTTGTTTATTTGTATGTATCACCAATAGTGAGGTAGGATTCCCTAAGTTGCAACCAGTATTTAGTAGAGCTTCTAAAAGTGGGGATGTAACTATTGTTGTGTGGTAGCTCCAGGTTGTAGACGCCTAGGTTTACCCAAACTGGCAACTTACAATTCATGAAGGTGGTAAACTGAGAGTATAGCAGGCAGTAGATAAGTCAGAAAGAAAAAAATGGAAGTGAGGTCAATGGACAAGCTGAGGTTCAATTTCAGGCAAATGAGAGTAAAGCCACAGGGAAGGATGGAAGTAAGAGAAGAGGAAGGGCAAGATTGTCAATGCAAATCAGGATATGGTTCAAGTTCCAAGCCAACAGTGGGGGGTGGGGGGGGGGCTAGCCAAAGTTCAAACTAGGTGAAAACAGAAGGTCCAACAGTCACAGGTAAATGACTGGTAAGATGTCTCTGTGCTGGGTATGGCTTTAAAAGCTCTTTTAGCACACCAAAGAATGGTTAGAATAATTTCCTGGAGAAGTATTTACATTCTTTTCTTTTGATAATTAGAACTTTTAAAATTCTAAATTGTGAGTAAATAAACCAGTGTTTTTTAAGTTTTTATTTTTATTTTTTTGCAGTTCTGCACTTCTTACAGTACTTTGTGTGGTAAAGAACCTCACAGCTTTAACTAAGCTGATGTATCTGTATTGTATCTGATGTTCACTTTTTCTTTCAACAATTCTTAGTATAAAAATATTTTTTTTTTTAAACTTTATCCTGGCTTTAAATATATTTAAATGTGTTAAGTAAGTTGATTCTTCTGACCCCACTGGGTGCTGCCATCCGTATTCCTCTCAGCGTAAGTGTAACACCACAGCCTGGATGCTGTTTTAGTTTCCCCCCCCTCCTTTGTTACATGCATGCACTAAGAAAAGGCATTGTATAAATCCCTTAGCATTGTGCAGTTATCTAGTATTCATGCAAAAGTGCAAAGAAAGTTGGAAGCTGAGGGGAATGCACACTAGAGCTCTGGTCCAACCGTCAAACCCTTGGCACTTAGACTGCTGGTCCTGCAATGTATGTGATGATGTCAGATACACACGCCTGAAGATGTGGAAAATCATACAGCTAGGGGCCATGTGTCCTTGTACCAGTGTTGCACTCTGGGCAAAGAAAGATAGAAAGAAAGGAGACAGTAAAAGGGAAACCAGGATCATTGAGAACCAACCAAGATAGGTAGTGTGCCATCCAAGTTCAGAAGAAAATATGGGGGGGAAAAGGGGGAGGGAGGAGCACAATGGGCACAGCAGCAAAGAAACACACAAGTGAGCAAATAACCCAGCAATTAAAATAACCCTCTCAAGTTCCCTGAAGGGAGCTGTATTCCTGAGAGAAGGAGAAATTGACCAAGTAGAACCAGGTTTTGCAGAACCTTTCCTCCCTGTGGTGGAGTGCTGAGGTAGGTTCCTCCATGGTTTTAATTTCACTTTTAGGTTTAGACAGCCAAAGCAAGAGTGGAGGTGGGTTCTGATCTCTTCCAATAGGGAGGATAACAAGCTATGGCAGCATTTATCAAATGTCTGAAAAGAGATTGCTTGTATCCTTTCTTTGTAGCGGGGTCAAATGAAGAAGCAGAGCGGCCAGGTTAGTGCCTAACTGAACATCATAATTTGCAGGACCGAGTCTATTCTGACTCCGATTGTTTTATTATCGATTTATCCTTTGCTGAGACCTCTATGCCTGACCTGTATAAGCAGATATAATCGCTGCGGACAATCCTTATCTGATAGCTGAACTCACCAAATAAATTTTCATCCACGGAGAGTTATATTGAATGCAGCTGGGTTACAGCAGACAACAGAACACAGCAGATGAATGAACAGACGGTATCTGCAGATTCTGGTTCCAGACACTTTATGAGCAAATCATGTTCCTCCTTGGTAGTAAGGTTGAGATCAGCAATAGCAGCTTTGAAGGTTGATCTCCAGGCCCTGTAGTTCCCTGGACAGTCGTCGAACCTTGAGAAGCTAGTGTCAATGAGCTCACGGCGTATCATATATCTGGTGAAGTCAGACAGGTCTGATCTCTCACTCTTTGGTGCCAAAGTAACTTGTGAAACCCCTTGGGCGTGAAAGTTCTCTGGTGAAGAAGGTTGAGGTATACCAGGATAAAATTATGTTGCAAGAGCGTTTAGTCTCTAAGGCTTATGCTGGCTGTATCTTTAACTGTGGCGTGTCGCTGGGAGTGACCTTGTTGTTGGCAGAAGGTGATGTGGTTTGCTACATAGATGCACTTGCTTTGTGGACTCGAAGAGGCTCAGGCATTTGGAGCTGACGTGTCTCTGTGTTGAGAGTCAGAACAGTGTTGTTAGTAGGACGTACAGGAGATGACTCTGTATCGTTGCAAACATTATGCCTTAGCACATATTCACTGGTGCGTTCAACTGGATCTTCCAGTTCTGCTGGGATAGAACAGTCTGAATAAGTACTTTGTCCCATTGCTTGTTCAAGGACTTTCAGCCTTGCTAAAGCAGTTGCGTCTTCCTTTTTCATTTGAACAATCTTTAATTGGGTTTTCATTTGAACCTCCGCTTCTGCTTGGCGAGTTTTGCTCTGAGCTTCCATTTCTGCTTGGCGAGCTTTGCTCTGAGCTTCCATCTCTGCTTGCAGAGTTTTGCTTTGAGCTTTCATTTGAGCTTCTATTTCTGCTTCTTTTCTAGCAAAGGAGCTTTGCACTTTTTTTGCTTCGACATTTGTGCGGGCCACTATTAGCTTGTCACTTAATGTTGAACTTCTGGAGTGAGAGGATCTAAAAGAATATGCTGTGAGCTGGGTTGATATGGATCTGTAAGATCTGGTCTCCTGCAGTTGAGCAATGTGGAGTTCTGACTTATACTTAGCATTTTGCACTAGGAGATCCCTTTCTTGTTTAGTGCATCAGTTTTGGTTAGTTCTGCTGAAGAGTCCTCTATATTAGAGTCCTTTAAGAAAGCTGCGTATTTTGCAGAAAGCCACTGGTAACTTTCAAGTCTCTTGATTCAGCTGGTTGATCATTAAAGTGTGGCAAAACTGACATGCAGTGTGAAGCTCTGTCCTATAGGTCTGACAGATTGCTGGAGAACTCATCTCTAGTGGTTTCATAGTTTACTCTGAGTTTCTGTGTTGGTTTTATTGTGCGTTTTGGGTTTTACACTCTGCTTGGCAATATCTGCAGAATCGTTTTTGCAAAAAATGGTTACTATCTCTTTTAGGAAGATGAACAGCAGCTTAGACAGGTGGGGTAACACAGTTCAATGCAGAGAAACAGTTTTTAAGGGTTTCAAAGTTTTTTACTGGTTTCCATACTTATAGACTTATAATCACAAACAGAAATATGGTTATATAATTATATAACATATGTAGCATAATAAGGCAGTAGATAGCAGTCGATGGTCTTTCAGCAGCAACAAAGCATAAGATACATTACATCTTCCCCTGCCCTATCTTTTCTATAAAGTTAATACATATCAGGAGCCCTTAATGCTTTATTTCTATGCCCTTGGCGCTCCTAACTTGAATTTGGGGGTCAAAAGTATTCAATTTTTATCACTTGTTATTGTATGCACCGCTATTTATCACTTAATCTATGCATACTAAGTCCCTCTAGGTGGGTAGTTCACACCTTCCACCAGGGGGAAAATTAGATGGAGAGACTATTTAATTAGAAAATTAGAAAGGGAGAAAAGGAAATAAAGAAGGATAAAACAAAAAAAAGCAAAGTTGCAGACTCATGGGTTCCTAATATCTAAGGCCTTAACTAACCTAAGGAAACTGGCAGGGTGCCTGAAAGATTTGAAATCCCTTGGTGCATCAACCATGGAGAAACAGTTTTTAACATTCACAGGTGAAGTGCTTGTGCGACCATGTGCTTTCACAAGATGGCAGATGGCACTGATCTTGATTGCCGATTAGGCACACACATATACACAGCAAGCAGGTTGTAGGAATTCTTTCATCTCTGACTATTCTGGCTCCGATTGTTGTATTAGCGATTTATCCCTTGCTGAAGCCTCTATGTCTGGCCTGTATAAGCAGATATAATCACTGAGGACAATCCTTATCAGAGAGCTTCACAGGTTGTCACTGGAGTCCTCTTCCACTCCTCCATGACGACATCACGGAGCTGGTGGATGTTAGAGACCTTGCACCCTCCACCTTCCGTTTGAAGATGCCCCACAGATGCTCAATAGAGTTTAGGTCTGGAGACATGCTCTGATCGGCCGCAGCCAAACTAGTATATGCAGCTGTGTTAAAGCGGCAATGGCAGGGTCTGTTGGACTTGGGAGTTGGGAGACACTTCCCCCGCCACTTTAACACATTCACATGTACTAGTTTGGCTTGACCTCGGCCGAAAACAGCAAGGAGATGGCGCACACAGCTGCCTCTCCTTCAGTGGCGACTCTTGGAACAATATATGGGGGGGGCACATGAGATACCACAGTCAAATCTGAGGGGGCACTAATAATTTCCATTGCATATCGCAACCGCTGGGAGCTGAGAGCTGATTTAATTGCAGATGTCAACTGCGCCCTGCGGTTGCGACATGTAGTCCAACGCCGCCCACAATCCTGAATACCGCAACCGCCAGGTACCAATGCCATCCGCAATTAAATCAGCTCTCGGCGCCGGCAGGTGTGGAATACAGCAGGGACTGACTGGCAACTTTTGGCCCAGGGGGCAAGTACACCCCAGAGGCCCATGGTGCAGCAACTTGCCCCCCCTCCCGCTCTGCCTCTTGCCCCGCCTTCTCCCTGCCTGCCACTTTTGCCATCAATGTAACGGTAGTGTGAATGGTCGGGTAATGTGAGGACTCACTAGGGGGATGGTGCTCTCCTCCCACTGGGCTCCCTACATAGTTATTATTATTATTATTATTAATATTATTGTGTAGTGGAAGGCCAATGAGGAGGGAGTTGCAATAGTCAAGACGAGATATAACAAGCGAGTGGATGAGTAGTTTGGAGGTTTCATTGGTGAGAAAGGGGCGTATTTTGGAGATGTTACGAAGGTGAAGGCGGCAGGATTTGGAGAGTTATTGGATATGGGGAAGAAAGGTGAGGTCCGAGTCAAGGATGACACCTAGGACCTTGGCATGAGGGGAGGACTGGGTAGTTGTGTTATCAATCTCAACTGAAATGTTGGGGGAACGTGCATCGGCGGGAGGAAATATCATGAGTTCAGTTTTTGAAAGGTTGAGTTTTAAGAAATGTGACATCCAGACTCATATGTCAGTTAGTAGATTAGTGACACGCAAGGACACTGAGGGGGAGAGTTGTGGAGTGGAAAGATACATTTTGAGTGTCATCGGCATAGAGATGGTATTGGAAGCCATGTGAGGTTATTAGTTGACCAAGGAAGGAGGTGTAGATAGAGAAGAGAAAAGGTCCAAGGACAGAGCCTTGGGGAACCCCTACAGAAAGAGGAAGAGGAGGGGAGGAGTTCGATTTGTAGGTGACACTAAAGGAGCGCATAGATAAGTCAGAGGAGAACCCCGAGAGAGCAGAGTCTTGTAGGCCAAGCGACTGGAGTTTTTTGAGGAGCAGCGGGTGGTCAACAGCGTTAAAAGCAGCAGAGAGGTCTAATAGCAAGAGTAAGGAATAGTGGCCGTTGTTTTTAGCTGTTATTAGGTCATTGGTGAGTTTTAGGAGGGCGGTTTCAGTCGAGTGTTGAGGGCGAAAGACGGACTGAAAGGTTGTTATTAGCAAGGTGGCAACGCCTTTAGATAAGGCGTTCTAGTAGTTTAGTGGTGAATGGGAGTAAGGAGATGAGGTTGGTAGGGTCCAGTAAAGGTTTTTTGGGTATTGGAGTGACTAGTGCATGTTTGAGAGGGGTAGGAAAGATTCCAGTAGAGAGTGAAAGATTGAAAATGTGAGTAAGAAAGTGTAGGATAGAGCAAGAAGGTGACCGAAGTAGTTTTGAGGGAACAGGGTCCAGGGGGCAAGTTGTGAGGTGGGTGTCAGAGAGGAGCTTTGTAACTTCCTCTGTGGTGACGGGGACAGAAGTAACAAGTGTGATGGAGGGTCTGGCACATTAATAGGGGAAGTTGATTGGACAGTGGCGATCTGATCCCGAATTGTATCTATTTTGTTTTTTAAATGAGTGGCGATGTCCTGGGCAGTGAGTGAGCTAGTGGGTGGTGAGGGTAGAGACTTGAAGGTAGAAAAGAGTTGACGAGGTCTGGATGAGAGTGTGTGGTAATGTGTTAGTTCTGGCCTTACTCTGCTCATGTCCGGTGTGACGGACCGCCTGGTACCCCCGACTGGGTACTTCCGTCAGAAATCAGCTTCCTTTCCGCTGGAACATGAATTTCAGTGTCCTCAGCCCAAACCTGCCTAATTATTGGACAGAACCAATGTAATAGGACAGAAAGCTGAACTGCTTTATTGAAGAAAGCACACAGAATCAGATAAGGGTTCAGTGTGTTGAACAGTTCCCTCCCCTAGACAGCTAGGTGCCGCATTGGAATTCTTTAAGCACAGACACTCTTTGAACCTAATGTCCTTAATTAGATAAGAGGTTGATCCCATCACTCTAAACAATGGCCCCTCCAGACAGCCTGCTGCCTATAATGAACACAGGGTCACTTACATGTCAGGGGAAACATTGAGTATTTTCACTCGACACATGAACCTAGTAGAATGGTTCAATGTAACCAAGAGGTCTGAGGGGGGTCTCCATAGTTCTAGGTCCATAGTCAGAAGAAAGGAGGCTATCGCTTCTTGGCCTTTTGACTAAGATCAAGTGTAGTATCTGTTCTTATCAGTTTAATATCTGATACGTCCCCTATCTGGGGACCATATATTAAATGGATTTTTAGAACAGGGAGATGGAAGAAGAGCTTGCTCTGTCCACTCCACGCATCGACCTGGTATTGCAGTATCTCCAGGACCGGTGCAAAAAAAAAGAAGGAAGGAGGGGCCAGCCCCCAGGCTCCTCCAGCAGCCCCAGTGATGGTTCAGTCCGTCACATCCGGAACTTAGGCACTCTCGCCCACTGTAGACTGCCGCTGGCTGTCCATGCTTCTGGGCTGTGAACTGTGGGAGCATAGTGGGAGGGGCCGGACAGTGTGAAGGGTTAGTGTTCTATAATTTTTCTTCACCCTATACATTTTCTCGACTGTGTCACTTCCGCTGGGGCCGAGTCATCTGAAGCAGATGTTTTCATGACCCCCTTTCTTCATGACATGCGCACCTGGAAGTGACGCGGTAGAGAAATTTATGGGGTGAGGAGAATTATAGGACACTGGTAGTGGAGGGATGCCTCGTCAGTGCTGTGCGCGTGCATGACTGCTGCGACTTTGGTATTTCAGCCACTAACTCCAAGCTGTAGAGGGACTACACATCTCAGCACATTATATAGTAATGCAGAATAATACCACCAGCTATAGAGGACTATAAATCTCAGAAATACATTGTACAGCATTGTACTGCATTGTACAGCTATAGAGAACTACAATTCCAAGCAATACATTACACAACAATGCAGAATACCATCAGCTATAGTGGACTATAAATCCCAGCAATACATTATACAGCAATGAAGAATACCAACAGCTATAGAGAACTACAATTCCCAGCAATACCATTATACAGCAATGCAGAATGGTATCAGCTATAGAGGACTACAAGTCCCAGCAATACATATTGCAGCAATACAGAATAATATGAAGCTACATGCTCTGGGTTTGCTGCCTGATGTCTTCAGAGTCTCAGGAGGGTTGTGCGGGCTCTCAGGAGGTTGTGCAGGTTCTCAGGTGGTCAATGAGGACTCTCAGGTGGTCAGTGCGGGATTTCTGCTAGTCAGGGCGAGATCATTGGTGGCCAGTGGGGGCTCCCTGATAATTAGTGGGGACTCTGTGGTAGCTGCCATGTGGGTAGTGGGGGCTCCACTGTGGCCAGTGGGGGCTCCCTGGTGGCCAGTGGGGGCTCCCTGGTGGCCAGTGGAGGCTCCCTGGTGGATAGTGATAGCTCCTTGGGTGACCATTCATCCCTGAATTCCGGGGACAGTCCCCGTATTGAGGGGACCGCCCCCGGACAAATTATGTCCCCGGGAATAAAATAAAACATTTTTTTGTTTTAATACTCACCTGATCCCTGGATCCACCGACAAGCGCAGCCTCCCATCTCCCACGCTGTCAGAAGCTGCATACAGAGCGTGCTGGTTACTAAAAAGAAGATATGCTATTAGCATAGCGGGAAAGCCGTCTGCGCATTTTGCATAGCTTCCACTACGCTAATACAGTATCTTCTCAGAAGCTGCATACAGCGCCTGCTGGTTTAAACAGTAACTGGCATGCTCTGTATGCAGCTTCTGACAGCGTGGGAGATGGGAGGCTGCCCTTTGTCTACTTTGCTAATTGTCATCTCCATAGAACCATTGCTCTCCACCATCTCTAATTACTAAGAACTTTAGAATAGGAAAACAAGTTCTTACAAGAACTTAAGGTGCCCATACAGCTGCCGATTATCGTACGATAATCGCCACTGCCCATGCGGCATTGGAGTCATCAGAAGCCCGCCCCTCAGTGGGGCGGGCTTTCGATGTTCACAAGTACGATCTGCCTGTCCAAGATGGGCAGATCGTACAAAGCTTTTAATTAGCTTACAACCATCGCAAGACAACAGTTTTGCGATGGTTGTAAAGTGTATGGCCAGCTTTAGAACTTAATGAAAGTTCTATGAAAGTCTATGGGACCAGAACTCGTAAAATCAAATGTCCCCATTTTGAAGGCTTATATGCAAGTTATTGCCCATAAAAAGGGTATGGGGATCCGGTACTGCCCTGGGTGACATGTATCAATGCAAAAAACACTTTTAAAAAATACAGTTTTTAAATGAGCAGTGAAACAATAAAAATTAAAAATTCCTTTAAATATCTGCCTGTGGGGTCCCCTTAAACTGCCTGTAAAGTGACATATCTGTACAATGTATAGAACCTGCTGCAGCAAAACTGACATACAGAAAAAAATGACATTTAAATTGCCGGTAATTGGTTTTCCCTTTTCATCTTGTAAACAATTGCTTGGGGAGGCAGCCTGTATGAAGAAGCCACATTTTAGGGCACTCGGAACATGGTTAGAGATTGTTTGGATAAATTCTGGTGTCTCTTTTGCAGACGATGGATGAAAGTAAAATCAGGTGCTTTAAAATTGGGCCTTTAGTGTTGGCGGTGCCTTCGCACCACAACCCTTCAGAGTTATTCTTGACGAGTACAGAATTGGACCCTGCTCTAAAAATTCTAATTATATATACCTGTCACACAGGTTTGGAAAAAATGGGCCTTTGGTGTTGGTGCCTCCACACTGTAACCACACAAAGTTACTCTTAATGAGCGTAGGAATGGGCCCTGCTGTAAAAAATTCAAATTATATGTACCTGTCACACACCTGTCTCCTTGTTGGCCTTTCAGACATGATGCAATAATATACTGTCCATGGCAGTGAATGATGGATGGAATATTATTAACGGTCACAATTAACAATTTAAACGAAATACTTTGTGAATAAATCCCGATTCCCTCAATAATACCGGTCTGTGTGTAAGCGCAGATGCTGAGGTCGGCACATTCGACTACATCGGCAGAACACTGGTATCTGCATTTAGTATTTTCAGGAGTATGAGTACTCGTGAAAATTACCAGTATTGGCACTGGTGTATCCCTACTTAAAAATATAATGCATAGTTGGTGCTATTCTGCATTGCTGTATAATCATCATACAACAATGCAGAATACCAGCAGCTATGCTGGACTACAAGTCCCAGCAATACATTATAATAAGTCAGCTATGCAGAATGCCACCAGCACTGCCCCCCACTATAATGCATTGCTGGTACTTGTAGTCCTACATAGTTGGAGCTATTCTGCATTACTGTATAATCAATGCAGAATACCAGCAGCTATGCGGGACTACAAGTCCCAGCAATACATTATATTAATAGTCACCTGACTATTAATACCAATACACCAGCATTCCCCTCCACTATAATGAATTGCTGAGACTTGCAGTCCTACATAGTTGGAGCTATTCTGCATTACTGTATAATCAATGCAGAATACCAGCAGCTATGCGGGACTACAAGTCCCAGCAATACATTATATTAATAGTCACCTGACTATTAATACCAATACACCAGCATTCCCCTCCACTATAATGAATTGCTGAGACTTGCAGTCCTACATAGTTGGAGCTATTCTGCATTACTGTATAATCATCATGCATCAATGCAGAATACCACCAACTATGCGGGACTACAAGTCCCAGCAATACATCATAATAAAAGTCAGCAGTACAGAATCCCACTACAACCCCCCCCCCCCCCCCCGACACACACACACACACACTGTTCTTCGACTCGAACATTGAGCCCATCTCTACTAATTACATACAAAACATAAACTAGCAGAATATTTTTTCTTTCAGAACCCTAGGATTTTACTTTCATCCATCCTTCATGAACTTCACACGTTTGGCACACATTTCAATGTTAAAGTAAATATCTCAAAATTTAAGCTGCAAATTATGCAATTTATTTTAAAGTGACATTAGATTAAATGAAAACTAGCTTTTCCAGCTTGTTTTACAATGCCCTTCCAGTAACTAAAAATGAATCCTGAGAACATATGTTGCATAACATAAGGGTCAAATGACAAAGATGTTGGACATGTTAGGGAATCCCTGAGAGGGATCAAATACAAAACAGGTGATCTGTACTAGGTGATCTGTACTAGGTGTTCAATGAGTTCACAGTATATAATGTAGGGGCCAGATGTGATTTAAGACACCGCATCCCAAAAACATTAATTTAAATACAAGACATGAAATATGTTCTAGAGGACTAGATAAATGAAAACTCCATACTCTATAGTCTAACGTCAAGGACTTATAAGCCCTCCTTAGACATACATATCAACAGCAAAGTGTATGCATTAGGTGACTGCTAGCCAATAAAGGTTCCCAGAAGCAGAAAGAGTATCCTCCTCTGTATGGGGAGGATGCTCTTTACGCAGCTGGGAACCTCAATCTATTGGTTAATAGTGGGGTTATTTATAAATTAATCTGCAGTACTGCAGAGTGCAGTCATAAGGATCCACCCTGCATTGGCTTTTCTGTGACCTGTAGGATCAGGGATGGTCTTTTTTGCCCTCCCCTTCCCCAGATCTTTCTATACCCCCTCCTTGTTGTGACCTTTGGTCACCTTATTTAAAAAACAGGACACATGGAGAGTTCCAGCATGCGTAGCAACACCCCCTTATCAGCCTTTTCTTTTTGATTATATATCTATGTTGTTGAAAATGGTTTTGACTGTGCAGTGAACTTGAGTTGTAAATTTTGGATTAGTTGTACATTGTGTGTCTTGTTTTTCTTGTATTCAAAATAAATAAAGAATTAAAAAATGAAAATGGTTTGACTGTGCAGTGAACTTGAGTTGTAAATTTTGGATTAGTTGTACATTGTGTATTTATTTTGAATACAAGAAAAACAAGACAAAGAATTAAAAAATAACTTTAAAATAAGCCATCACTGACCTAGGTAGCTGCAAATACTGTACAGCAGGGGTGTCCAAACTTTTTTCAAAGAGAGCCAGATTTGATGAAGTGAACATGCGTGAGGGCCGACCATTTTGCCTGACATTCTTTAAACCATTAAAATTAAACGCAAATTAACTATTTTATGCAAAGTTTATTGCAAACGGCATACTTTTCATTTCGTCACATGGATGACAAATCCAAACAGGTGTTAAATCACTCTGCCTTTCATATCTGAAGGCCAGATGAAAAAAAATCCAGGAAGCTGAATCTATATGTCAGTAACATTGTAAAGTACATTTCATATTATTGGTAATAAATTTTCATATTATTGGTAATAAAGGTTGTCTGTCAACTTTTAAGTTAAAAAAATATGAACAGGAACATAACACCAAGTATACATGTTGTGTCCAAATACAGTATATTTATAACTAATTTAGACCACTGACATTAACTGAGATTTTACAATGTATTCATCTCAATTGAAAAAAAAACTTGCCTGCACTAATGTGAAGGGTGAAACTGAGATCTGGACTGCAGCACATAGGCTAGGTCTGGTTCAAAGGCAGTGGTTTTAATGTGCAAAATGTCACACAGGTGAGAGTCACTTAGTCTTGTCCTCACGCGCAGGGAGAAGGAACGCACCAAATCCCACAATGTCCAATAGATCGCAAGAAAGCCGACTGAGGACGTGCAGTTCTACGGCGTTGAGAGATCCAGAGATCCCAGGGGTCCTGAGCGGCGCTCTCGGGGATTCACTGGAGGCCACAACAGATAGATTTTGCCAAATTACCTGTGGGGCCTTATTAAACCGGCACATGGGCCGCAATTGGCTCGCGAGCCGGACTTTGGACATGACTGCTGTACAGTAATTAATTCTCAAAGATCACAACAGAGGCTCCATTTTTAACAGATTTTAATCACCTGTTGTATGTTTGTAATAGAGGGTTTGCAGGTTTCTAATGCCATAGAAAATAAGGGGATTCTCTTGTTAGTTTTGAAGATTATTTTTTTCATAATACCTAGTCTAGGAACAGCTGCATTTCAAGCCAGGCTTTTTTTAATTTACCTCATTTATGAGTTGTCTGTTGATTGCTGATTGATCGTTTTCTTTTTTTCTTCATAGGTTCTGGAATTATTACCAAAACAAGATGACAGCATTACTGCTAATCTGAGCTATTTATTGTATACTTTTTCTTCTTGTGAGTGTTGTACCAATCTGCAAAGTTATATGGGTAAAATAATAATCTTCATTTATAGTATTTGTGGGTTTTTACATGCTGTAATTTCATTTTTTTTCTTCGTTTAATATTCTTGTATATTTGTTGAATAAATATCTTTGAAGAAATTCTTGTATATTTGTTAAATAAATGTCTTTTGAAGAAATGCATAAATACATAAATCAATGTAATCTCTATTGCCTCATGTGGTGGTGGCAGTCTCAAAATCCACTGTTGCCATCAGACTGTGAAGATGGCACTCTCATCTCAGGGGTGTGGACATTTTTTTAAAAAATACTTGTCCAAGGGCTAAAGCGGGGGCCAAATTTACTTGTCCCTCATGACAATCTACTTGCCCCGATACAAAAAAATAGTTTTAATTAAAACTAGGAATGCACCAATACCAGTTTTTGGGTATCGAGTACGAGTACCGATATTTTGCTTTCGGAACTCATCCTGCATCGGTGCTTCTATTGGCATGGAGCAGGCTTCCCGGGCAATCAGGAAGCTTGGCAGCAGGTAATGATTGCCAGGGAAGCTTCCTGATTGCCAGGGAAACCGACCCCATGTTGTTTGGTCGGCTTGATTGTGAATGGCTGGGAAGCCAGTTTCCCGGCCAATCAGCATTGAGCCAGCTATACAGCCAATCAGCAAGGAGCTGGCATCCCGGCCAATCAGGAAACTGGGAAGCGGGTCCTGATTGAAAGGGAAGCTGGTTCCATGTTCCCCTATGGCACTGCCAGTCAGAGGAAATCTTCCTCTGACCGGAAGTTCCGGTATTGGAGAAGGTATTGGAGCATTCGGGCAAGTACAAGTACTCGCCCACATACTCTGTATCGATGCATCCCTAATCAAAACTGTATTTCACTGTGCTAAATAGCACTTCTCATTGGTCAGCGTGGTCACCTCGTGAGCTGGCTGCTGGCCACATAGTACCGGCACAATCTAAGTGCCAGCATACTGAGAGAGAGAGAGAGAGGTAACCGTTTAAATATGGTATCTTTCTTCAAAGAGACAAGGATTGTTTTATTTGTGATTTAGAGATAAATTCCGTCATGAAGTTGTAAGGGGTCACACAGGGGTAAGGGGTTCCGTTTTGTCGAGCGGGCGACCAGCTTTACAGTAGAAGCAGCCAGATAACTTCTACGATCCGGTAACCACCAACCCCCCCAACACCCCTGCTTTGTTTTCTGGCCTCTGCCGCCACTCCTACAGGCCCGGGAACCGGCTTGCCGGCGGGAAGCTGGGGAGGAGAGCGGCGAACATCCGTGTGCCGATCCCCTCCCCGTACAATGGGACCGGGAGTGATGCATATCACTTCCGGTCCCATTGATGTCAGTGCTTGGCTCCTGAAGCCCAGCAATAAGCTATTGAAGTGCGATCTGCACTTCAATAGCTTATTTAGAGTGTAAAGGTGACACTGGGGGTCTTTTGGACCCCCAGCATCACCTTAAAGAGTACCTGTCACTGCCATTATGCTATCACATGGGGGGGCTTGTAAGCCCCCCCATGTGATAGCAATTAAAATAAAGTTACAAAAAACAGTTTAAAAAATAAGATTAAATAAATTAAATGTAAAAATAAAAAAATGTCACGTAAATACACGTCAGGTGCGCCTACGTACGAAAACGCCAATTGCGCTACACATGTTGGGTATCACCGCGCACGCCGGAGTGAGAGAAATAATACTAGGGCCAATATTTACCATTATGTCTAAACTGTAGCGGCTTTTAAAGCGTTGTGTATGGACTTTTTGGGGTACTGAATTCTATTGCAGTTTCACGGACGCACACAATTTTTAACCTGGGCATGTTGGGTATCTATTCACTCTTTGTAACCTCATCTTTTATATTTTACAAAATGGTTTTATATAGTGTTTTGGGCCACTAAATCTAACTTAAGTGCAGTTTTCACAAAATTTTGGGGTTTGATAATAAGTTGCGCTAATGTCGTGCAAGATATAAATTTGCAACTGCCACCATTTTATTCTATGGGGTCTTGACTTTCCAAAAATATATAATGAGTGGGGGTTTTAACTAATTTTCAGGCCTAAAATGTGGACTATAACATGTAAAAATAAAAAACAAAAAAAAGGCCTTTGTAAGAATGATCATTTCAATGGAAGAAAATAAAAACATTCCACGGTCAACTGTTAGTGGTATTATAACAAAGTGGAATCAACTGGGAACAGCAGCAGCTCAGCCACAAAGTGGTAGGCCACGTAAAATGACAGAAGAGTCAGCGAACCCTGCAGAAGTTGCCAAATGTCTGCAGAGTCAATAGCTACAGACCGCCAAACTTCGTGTAGCCTTCAGATTGGCACAATGTGCATAGTGAGCTTCATGGAATGGGTTTCCATGGCCGAGCAGCTGCATCCAAGCCTTACATCACCAAGTGCAAAGCGTCGGATGCAGTGGTGCAAAGAGTGTACTCTAGAGAAGTGGAGACATGTTCTCCGGAGAGACGAATCACGCTGGCAATCCGATGGATGTGTCTGGGTTTGGTGTTTGCCAGGAGAACAGTACTTGCCTGACTGCATTGTGCCAAGTTTGTTAGAGGGGGGATTATGGTGTGGGGTTGTTTTCAGGGGTTGGGCTTGGCCCCTTAGTTCCAGTGAAGGGAACTCTTAAGGTCTCAACATACCAAGACATTTTGGACAATTTCATGCTCTGAACTTTGTGGGAACAGTTTGGGGATGGCCCCTTCCCGTTCCAACATGACTGTGCACCAGTGCAAGAAGCAAGGTCCATAAAAACATGGTTGAGCGAGTTTGGGGTGGAAGATCTTGAGTGCCCTGCACAGAGTCCTGTCCTCAACCCGATAGAACACCTTTGGGATGAATAAGAGCAGGGACTGTGAGCCAGGCCTACTCATCCAACATCAGTACCTGACCTCACAAATGAGCTTCTGGAAGAATGGTCAAACACTCCCATAGACACACTCCTAAACCTTGTGGACAGCCTTCCCAGAAGAGATGAAGCTGTTATAGCTGCAAAGGGTGGGCCAACTCAATATTGAACTCACAACAGGGCGCAAAACTAGTAGGGTGGATGATTAGACATTGATATTGTAAAGGTGTACTATGAAATTGTGTAAAACAGGGAGTTTACACTTACGTTTAGATGTGGGGACCAGGAGAGGGGCGGCCTCGCAAGAAGATCGAGTGGTCCAGGGTCGAAGGCTGAAGGAGTTGTGAGAATTGTCGGCCGTAGTTGGAGATTGAAGAGCTGTTAGCCGAAGGGGAAGGCGAGGCGGTACTAAGGCAGTGCTGGGTGCTGTGACCGCGTCCGTGATACTCTCATATGGACCGGAGTGGGGGCAGTTTGTGAGCGGAATACTGAGTATGACTCACTGGTGCTATGACTGAACAAACACCTATCTCTGCAGCTGTCCCCGGTGTTTTCCGAGTCCTTCCTCCATCCCTGACCTACAGAGCAGACTACCGACCATAGCTTTCTGCACTATTTCCCACACGGCAAGACGCCACATGTGCCGCTCTCACCGGAACCCTAAGGGACAAGACTGCTCTCCGGTTCAAACACCGTCCTGACAGCTGCAGAGACGGAGGCTTGGGACCCCAGCAGCGGCGGTTGCAGCGGCAGAGGAGGCTTGGGGCCCCAGCGGCTCCAGGAATCAGAAAGTGGCAGACCGGAAGTGAGGAGAGAGCCGGGCGGGAGGAGGAGATAGAGCTGCCTGAAGGTACAGTCTAGGCCCTCTGCCGGAAGTGAGGAGAGAGCCGGAAGTGAGGAGAGAGCCGGGAGGGAGGAGGAGATCGAGCGGCCTGCAGGTACAGTCTGGGGCCTCTGCCGGAAGTGAGGAGAGAGCCGGGCGGGAGGAGGAGATAGAGCTGCCTGAAGGTACAGTCTAGGCCCTCTGCCGGAAGTGAGGAGAGAGCCGGAAGTGAGGAGAGAGCCGGGAGGGAGGAGGAGATCGAGCGGCCTGCAGGTACAGTCTGGGGCCTCTGCCGGGAAGAACGAGCAGCAGCCACCTGATTACAGACCCACTGCCTCTCCCTGCTGCATGTGTTTCCACCACAAGGACAGGCAAAAGAGGTAAGTGCTTTATTCTATGTGCCTTAACTGTTTGTAACCCATCCTATGTAACTGATGGAATTGATTTGCATATATGTATTGCTGGAAGTTGTAGTTCTCTATACCTGGTGCTATTCTGCATTGCAGCAGTGTAGAATGGCATCGCTATAGAGGACTACAACTCCCAGCAATATTTTATAGGGAAATGGAGAATGGTAACGGGTATAGAGGACTACAACTTCCAGCAGAACTTCATATGGCAATGCAGACTTGCAAATGCTGTATAAAATACTGCTGGGAGTTCTAGTCCTCTATACAGCAATGCAGAATGGTTTTGGCTATAAAGTATTATTGGGAGTTGTAGTACTCTAGAGCCGAAACCATTCTGCTTTGCCGTATAAAGTATTGCTGGGAGTTGTAGATCTCTATAGCTAAAGCCATCCTGCATTGCTGTATAAGGGCCGGTGCACACCTATGTGACACTGTACAGCGCGGCAATTGTGCACGATCTCGGGCGTATTGCCACGCGGTAAGGAGTTGTATAGCTGTGCACTGATCGCGCTGTAGGTGTCATTGTTTTTTATTGGCACCCCAGTCGCAGCGGGCAGATCATGCGGTTTCCCACTGCGATTCCACCCGTCCTCCTGAACACGATCGCGGCTACAACAGCCGCGCGCCATGTATCGCAGAAAAAAGGTACTAGTACTTGCAGTATAAAGTGTTGCTGGGAGTTGTGGTCCTCTATAGCAGCGGTCCAGAACCTTTTTGGAATCAGGGAACCGGTTTAGGTGAAATTCCTTTTCCACAGAACGCATTTGTGCACTTTATTTCTATTATTATTACTACATTGTAATATATAATGACATTATTTTAGAAGTCACCATATGCAGAATCAGTGGGAGCCCTGAGCTTGTTTTTCTGCTCCCAGGTGGCCAGTGTGGGCTTTCTGGTAGCCAGTGCGGGTTTTCTGGTGGTCAGTTGGCCAGTATAGTCATTGTAG